ACGGAGACTTGCCACGGTCTCCAACCCTGCTCCTTTCTCATCCGGGCTTGGGACCGGCCATGGCGGAGTTGACTTTCTGTATCGAAAACAAAAGCAGCGGAACAATTTTTCGGATCTTTTATGAACATTCTGTTCCTTGAACTGATCGGGTTATTGAAACGAATCATGTTAATTTTTGAATAGGTGTCTTGCTTCCGTATTAGCGAGTCCTCAGTGAATAACTGTGACATTGATGATACAAATGAGCAGCAATTTCTCCGGCATTTTACTCCTTGGACGAAGGAGCCGGTGAAATTGATAATCGTCCAGCGCTTAAATTTGAATTCGTTTAATAACTTCTGTGTCCGTCATTCGTCATTGTGAAGCTGCGACTTGACTTTCAGTTTCGCGAATAAAAAGCGCATCTGCCCATTACCGGCCTTTCTCTGCAGGCAGTATTCCGTGAACGGATCGAGTTAGGGAAGCCAGCCATTGTCCTATATTTGACTTTGAGTACTTTTTTGCTTCTGTGCAACTCACTGCCCACTGAGGAACAGCAAAAAAGTCAATGTTTTCTTCGGCTTCCGACCTCATAGAAATCGACTGTTGTGTGGCTCTAGTTCTTGCCAGTTATGCGCTCTGCGACTACCCTTACGAGAATTTTGACACACACGACCACTCCTCCTACGTAGCAACATAAAATGTCGTTAGCGATCGAAAGCCGGCACTCAGATTTGGTCAGAGGTCACAGCTCACTCGTGCATTTTCACTCCTCGCAGCCACTGTAGCCACTGTACGAAACTCTGACCGACTGCTTTATGGATCAGCGACAGTCTTCGCTTATAAAATCAAGATCAGAACCTACAAAATGGGTTGCAAGTGAAACTCTTAAAAAGTCTGTGGGACATGATCATCTTATCTTGTTTCCTCCTCGCATATTTCACTTCAGTTTAGTGTATTTGCGTCCGCAACGAGCTGTGCTCAGCATACGCAAAATGAAAGTCCCCATGTTTCTTTGTACGCATGCTCACGATGTCGTTGTGCGTTCTGTGTGTTTATGCCGTCCATTTTTAGTATGCATATTCTTTTGCGATAGTGACGATAATTTAAAAATTGTCGGCCGAAGTCCGTTATAGTAGTAAAATGAAAGATTGGTTGATTTCCATTGACAAAGCCAACAAAAAACGGCCTAAATCCGGCCGCGGGCATAGTTCCTTGATTATATACATTATTCGACTCAGTATACTTTCGTTCTTTACTGGATTCCATAAAGAGACGGGGAATCGAACTGTGGTACATAAACCTGGTCTTCATGAATTACAGGTATGCATTTGCTGGTTTGAAGCTTCACGAAAGCACAAAAAAGTTGAAAATCGAAGATGGCGTCCGACAAGGAGACGCAGTATCACATATTATTCAAGCAGCTGTAAAAGGGGTTTTCAAGGCACTCCTTTGGAAAAGTTATGGGCTTAATATAAATGGGCACTACTTAAGCCACCTGCGACTTGTGAACGATATTTTGATCCTTTTAATGTGATCAGAAGAATTCAAAAAATCCAAAAGTTGAACGACTAAGGAGGACTAAAAATGAACCGGAAGAAGACCCAGGTCATGTTTAAAAAACACGGGATGGTGCGACCTATTGAGTTAATGGACTCAGTCTCGAAAAGGTGCAGAGCTACGTTTATCTGGAACAGCTCATCTCTGCAACTGAGAACCGATGGAAAAGCAATAAAAGTAGCACAGAACTTTTGGGAGAAGGAAAGTTTTTATACGGGAAACTGCCTTTTTGCTTGAGACTGAAGGTCACCGATCAGTGTCCACGTTCATTGCTAATCTGCAGATAAGAAACGTGAGCCATCAACCTAAATCATATTCATAAACTGCAGACTACTCAGCGCAGCATCGATGTATATTAGAAGAATAATAAAGAATATGAATGATAAATGGGGGAATAACAAAAAAGATTAGATGAATAAATGGGTGAAAGCACAAATTAGAGTCCGGAATGTTGTTGTCTTAGTGAAGAAGGTAAAGCAGCAATAGGTAGGACTTGTTACAAGGAGAACCGGCTATCACTGAGTCAGTGAGATTAGATTCGACTTAAAGAAAGAGTAAACGGTCCCTTGTAAGAGGCTGTCCCTCCGTTTGGCGGAGAATGGAATATGTTGGAAAGTCTCCCGAAGCAGCGTCTCCTGTACCAGAAAGGAAAAACGGACATTGAAAATGAATGAATGGATGAGTTCATACGACAGAAGAAGCCGACCATGATGACAACCCATACATGGTAGTTCTGTTGCATATTTTTGAAATTGTGCCTAAGCTTTATAATTCAAGTCTTCACTAATTGCAAGCGGTGCAGTGCTTCCCAGGGCGAAAAATATACCATACGACAGAAAAAAGTGAATTAATGACTGACACCCACTAACCGATGCTGGATAAACTGCGTTGTTGTATCGTGCAGTTCTGGAAGATACTGTTTTCAGTTGCGTCGACTGTTGGCGGTATGCAAGACAAGATGAGGAAGGGGTAAGAAGGGAACAAAAATATAGAAACACAGGAGTAAGAGAGAGAGAATGATGAAGAAGCAACTAATCGAGTGAAACGGGGGCAGTTCATTTCAGGCACTGACTTCGATGGCGGGTGGGAATACCGTTGCCTGATTTT